GGAGATCTCCAGAGTCTATTAACTCGGTTCAGTTGGCGGATTACCTGGCCAGGTTCTACATGAACGTCAGAAAAAAACGATAAATCTGAGTACGAACCATCAAGTCTGAGGTGTTTATAATCCAGCATTAACCGTTACCAACAGGAGAAACACTACGACGTCAATATTTTGACCGATATTAAATTCAAACATTCTCGTGATGTGCTAAGTGCCAAAATGAAGTATTTGAGGACTCAAGGCAAAGGAAACCGCCCAAATGCTGCTAATTCACTAAATAAGGAGGAAGGGTCAAGTCTGTATTTAAAAGGGGCGCTTGGTTTAGGTAGGTACAGTATTCAAATGAATAATAGATAGTTGTATAAGCTTGGTAGCTGTTGGTTCTAGTTAGTATTACTGTAATCATTAAGTGAGGAATGCCCAATGGATATTGAAAATTGTATTGTGTTGATGATCGTGATTAAATTGAATTCCAACCAGATCCATTGTGTTATATTGTTAAAACTATTAATAAACATGTTATTTTGTAGGAATTTAGAAATTTCTAAATGTTGACATTTTATGATAGTTGTTACTGTTTTGTTTATATATATCATTGTTTTTGTTATCATTTTTATTAATATCAGTAAATAAAATGAAGAAATGATTTGTTTGTGTATGTTTTGTTTATTTTAAAGGAAAAAAACATATGATAAAAAGTTTATGATATGACCGTTTTGATATCACACCCCATATCAGCCCTCGAGTCCTGATATCAGCCCGCTGGCCTTCGGCCTTCTGGCTGATATCAGGACTCTCAGGCTGATATGGGGTGTGATATCAAAATGGTCATATGATAATCTCTAAATATAGGAAATCCCCGTAAAATGCTTCGAAAGTTGACGTCGCGATTTTCACACGTGAAGACTTTCGTTACACGAATGCGCCGTCTGCTATTTAACGTGATTTGGAGATGTCTTGGTATAGATTTATTGCAAGTAAGATGACTTTAGTGATGTTTTCAAAATGTCCATATCAATTTTTTAACAAGTTAACTTAATATAAAACATGTGATTATTTTATTTTTTAGTCATAGACCACCTTTTTCGGAAAGACCGTTGCATTTTTTTTACCAAAATCGATCTTCTTAAGTAATCCGGGCGACACGAGTTCCAAAACTAACTATTGTCAAACAAATTTTTAAAACACTCTTTATCATCAGTTTGTTATTGTGTTTTCAGTATTACTGTCAAGGGTTTTAGCCTCTGTAGAACCAAGATTCTAAAATTACTCATGACTTGACAATCAAAATAAATCGATAAACAATTATCTTAATTGTAATATTATTAAAATGCTGCGAAGATACGAATAGTTTACATTTTGGAGTCTTTGCCAACTTGCTCGCTAACATTTACAGTCCATACTGTACAGAACAACCCTAAAATATCATAAAAACGGCACCGAGCAACGTTGTAGTCTGCTACAAGAAACACGATCAACTATCGTTTCACAGGTCCTATGTACACCAGCAATGATTGAAAACTTATTCAAACAAAATACAAAATGTTTTATGAGCTGAAAATGGCACATTCAACAACATTTCAAGTCAGGATAGTTGATGTCGGCCATTCATAAAAGAATGTTACATGTTTCCCCCAATAATATAGTTATTGTTATACATATGAGGTATTGGCGACAGATATATATATAGTGACATGTTATGCATTAATTTAGGTCACATAGAGAACAAATAACGGCAAACAGTCTATAAATACAATACAATATCACCATAATAACAATATTCTGTCAACTCTAGTTTTATTAAAGTATAGGTCACTTTATGGGACAATTGTATTTCCTGTTTACGTCACATAGCTAAGTATAGCACTCATAACTAGCAAGGACCTACTTAGTCATATACCGACAACGCAGGTCGATAGAACGGGTGTTTGGAGCTGATAACATAGGACGTACGCTTAGAGCAAGAACATATCACAAAGGACGGGTGTAGTAGACCAAGGTAAGAATCTTTGATATGGAAACCTTCTGATAAATTCAAACGACACATCAGGCTATCCCAGCCAGCACGCTGATATCGGGCTGATGTCGGTTGAAGGGCGGAATATCGGCTAAATATGTAGTTATTGGGCCGACGTCGGGCCGTCATCACTATATATTTACATTCTGTATGCTTAGACCCATTGACAAAAAATACATTCATAAATGCATAACACAGGTGTTCATAGAATCTCAGCACGTGGGAACTGATAGTAACCTGATCACACTGCGTAGTAATACACTACAAAAACTACTCACTCGGAACGACCGAACTAGATGCTTAATTCTTACATCTTAAAATATTATTGAACTGTGCTTTGTGAAATATCCACGTATTCACGTGTCCTGTGCTACAAATAAACATTGAATATGGAACTACATTTTGTTGTGTTATTGTTGTTGACGGTTGCTAAGATCTCTCACGATAGTGTCACATTTCCCCGCGAAAAAACACTGTTCTCGCCACTGCGTTGCACCCGTGTATAAGCAGGAACAAACCCTGTTTATTTGTTTTATTCGTTGTTATATCGATCCACTGAAAGGATTCGTCAATGTAAATATAAGGAATGATATTTATTTTTTCAACATTTATGAGGTCATAACAACAATGGGTTTTTGGACATATTTTACATGAATCGCTAACGCGATTCATTCAATATGTCCATAAACCCATTGTTGTTATGACCTCATAAATGTTGAAAAAATAAAAATCATTCCTTAATTATATATTTGTTATTCAATATATTTATTTCTAACACTTATTTATTACCAGAAGGTATTTAAAAGAAAGATTAGGCTGCTTTTAATGTTTAAGTGCCAAAATAAAAAAAACCCACATAAACATGACAAAATGATATCGGCCCAATAGCGGACCGATGTCATCAAAACTATATAACTCGATTTCTGGCCTTACGAATTGTCCATACATCGGGCCGATATCACTCCGATGTTGTATCAAAAAGAATTAATATATGGACATAACGTTATGCATCTGTCTAATGTATTTATAAAACTGAATTCAATAAGTGTCAATGCTAAGATAACTTATAAACTTATGTCGAAGTTTCAATAGATACACGTTTTTTGTGTGTATATATATATACAAACATAAGTGTGTATTCACTGCGGACCGACTAACCGGAAATTGCGCCAGATTTGTAACGGGTTACCGGCATTTTCAAAACTGACAGAGAAAAGACAGCAGGCATAACAAATATAGACAGTGTGTTTGGATTATTTCATGGACAGACAAAGCCTAGTGAAAGGTGATGAGGGTAAGCTGTTTTATTCATACGATCATGTCTTATCTAAACTAATCTGAGCATCTGGCCAGTGATACTAAAAAGTTTACAAGTTGATTGTGTACGGAGTGTTTATAATTTACAAAATAAGTGTGTACATGTAAGACCATAACTCTATGTCTACTTTCAGGTATAAACGTCTGAGTAACAATAATAATTTAACATGGGAGTAACTTCACTAGTATTAAAATCAGAATGAAATATTGCCTTATGGATTTCAAAAGGATTACGTTCATATCATATGTCATCAAAAAAATAAATCATATTTCAACAAACTGGATGGTTTGTTTTGGTTTGATGTTATTCAACCTCCTGAAAAACTAAGGTCATTTAAGGACACGCCTCCATGTGTATTATGTATGCGTGCATGTATTTTTGTGTTCTGGAGATAGGGTATGTTTGTGTTATTGTCTCCTTGTGATACGGACTTTATAGTAATGTCTCACTAAAATACCATGTCGAATGCACCCGTCACAGCATTCCGCCCGGTCACATTATACTGACAACGATTGGACCAGTTGTTGTCATTTCCCTAAATGCTGCACGTTAAGCAAGGAATAACAAAGACCATTTTTAAGGACTTTGGTTGCCTGGGGACAGAACCCATTGCTTTCCTCACCTTGGCAAACGTTCATCATTAGGCAACAATTGAGGTGTTTCAAAGCAAAGCGCTATGAAATAAAAGATCGTTAGACGTAGAAACAAATACAAAGATTTAAAATACTGCGATTGGTGGAGCAGATTCATTTTGTGTCCACAAGTGGAGGACACAAAAGCAAATCCCCAAATATGCAGGGGTTCACACAGTAATCGCCTCTTACGATACATGCAGTGAGTAACAGCTGGTGTATTCTTTTCTCGATCCCCGACCTGCAAGGTTAAACAGGAAGGTGTGTTTGCGTTGGCGGCTTAGGGTTTCGGTTAACTAATAATTTATAAATAAGACGTGATGTATTGTTATGTTTAAGTGTTATTTAATAGGATAATAATTAATTAATAAAATATATTTGAACATGTAACACTTGGTATTTAAAAAAACGACAAACACATAAACATTTTTAATTATATATATATATATATGTGTTTTATATGCAAAAATGAATGACACTTTCGTCAATGGGTCCAACAATACATAATCAAAATACAAATAGATGTTTTAAACCAATAGACAGGTATCTTAAAAACATTAATGTAATTCTTGGATATAAAACATGACGACATATTATGGTTATCTATTAGTGGCTTATATATTTTATCAGGACTCTTATCAAAATCGTACTATTTATTTTCTTTTGTGTATATATATGTTTATATTCATTTCTTCGTGAGTTCTTTAACATATGTAAATTGCCACTTACTCAATGGTTCCCCGTTTCATTTTCATCGGGGGTTCATGAGCATTCATGTATCGAATAGATCGAAATTCATTTTTCACTAACAAAATCAAAAATAAACATAGTATATTTTATAATAACTTAATTCCTTTGACTGTATGGATACACACAATTAACATTAAGTTTGCATTTTTTATTCAAACTTCATGATATTTTGTCAAACACTTTTTATTCGTCTGTATGTGTGTCATCATGTATGCCTCTCTCAGTGAACTTTTATATTATAGATATTGCTAATAAAAACTTCCATTTAATCATAACCTCCAAACAAACCAAAACTTAAGTTTTTATATTTTCTAGGAAAACGCAAACAAAGACGTTACTCTAATTCCGAATCTGAAACCGAAGAGAGCATTTCGAAAGGAAGGAAAGGTTAATATAATTTTTCCATGTATCGAATATTTAGTCATCAGTTTATCATCAACCAAATGCAACAGAATTCAGTTTCCAATAAATATAAATTGTAAGATTTTTTTTAATTCCACTGACTATTATTGAAACAAATAATTGACTTGCAGTTGCAAATTTAAGTTGTATTTTCATTTTGATATCTTTATGACGTTTGCAAACAACTTTTATTCGTTTACATGTCATCAACTTTGCGTCTCCGGATGCTTCGTTTAATTACATTTCATGCTTATGAAAGATTATTGTTATCATAATGTGCGAACGAAACTAACCTTATGTAAATATATTATTTAGGAAAGCGCAAACACAGCCTTGACTCTGATTCCGAAACTGAAGTCGAAGACCGCAAATCAAAACAAAGGAAAGGTGCGAATCAATTTGGTTCAATGTATCGAATATTTCGAGATTCGTCATTACTTTATCGTTAACGAAAGTCAATTTAGCTTTAATTTCTAAAAAGTATCAGTTGTTAGATATTCATTAAATTCCATTATTGGATAAAAAAATGATTTTGACATCTACTTTACAAACTTAATATTTGTATTATTATATCTGTCTGACGTTCGACAGACACCTTGTATTGGTTTACAGTCATCAGTAATTTATGCATATTTATTATTAGGAAAACGCAAAATAAGCCATGATTCTGATTCTGAAGCTGAAGATGAAAAAAGCAAACTGACACAAAGGAGAGGTTAGTATTTATCTATTTTAATGTATCGAATATGTCGTCATAATTCATTGAGAAAAAAGTCAGTGTTTTGATTTTGAAAAAATGCTTATTTTGTATTCAGTTATTAAATTCCACTGACTATAATTGAACCAAATTGACATCAAGTTAATTTATCTAATTGAATGTAATGCTACAACAACCTTTTATAACGATCATAATGGACAATCGAAAATAAAGCTTAGGTATATTTACTATTTAGGGTATCACAAACACAGTCGTGATTCTGATTCTGGAAGTGAAGACGACGGAAGCGAATCGAATCAAAGAAAAGGTGAGCACCGGTGTATGTTTAAGCATATAGAATATGTTTTGAATAATCTATAACAAATTAAATCCCGTAATTTTATTAGTATTGGCCATTGTTGTTTTCTTAATGTGTCTGAAACACTCGAACAATATAGCAATTACCTTCGAATGAAATAACTTATGTGCATCCTGCTCGATTTTTGTTAAATACAGGAGTGGAAATACTCAAATTGTGATACAGCCCTAGATAGTTAAATATGCTATTGTATCATGTACATGTGTAAATTATGTCAAGCTGCAATCATGATTTATACTTACAGAAAATGCGGGGAATTTAAGAAAAGAACACGATGACACGCACGATGCACAAATAGTTTATACCTGGCAAACAGCGATGAATGCTGTCGGATTTATCCAGGGCCCAGTCGCTCGTGGCACAGGGTTTAGAGTGGGAAAGGACAAGATAATGACAGCCTACCATGTGGTAGAGGACATAACAAGTAATTATGTTATTGTTGATGAAACAATATTTTAGACATTATTTATCACAATTTACAAATGCTTATTTTTTTAAGTATTTAACCATCATGTGTTTGAAATAATAAGATTGTATTTCTTGTTGCGAAATCATTCCTGTGAGCATGTCCATGTTAGCATGAAACAAGGTACGGAAGAAATATCTGACGATATTTGCTGATAGTTTTTTTCCACATGTTTTCGAAATATAAATGCACTTTATAATTCGTAAAAAAACCCACACACAACATTTACACTGTACAAATTAGTGATCTCATAATATTTGTACTTAATAATTTGTACACAATACCAATATAAGTAGACTTTAAAATCTTTATCAAATAGCAGCGGTTATAGTTTTATTTCGCTTCAAAAGCTTAAATGGTGATTTGCACGTGACGTTTATATTTATAATTGTTTATACAATTAAAAAATATCGTTTTACTTAAAAAAGTTGTAGTTGCTAGGTTTATATTTATTGTATTTTTTAATATATTTACTTATTTATTTATTTTAACGTATATAAACAAGCTATAACAGTTAACATACTGATGATAATACATATACTTCTTAAGATGCTCTATTGTACATAGCATTGCATGTATCTACAACATATCAGAAACAACGCCTTCCGTCCCGACCCATTCACGGTATATAATACGTTTTCCTATTCCAGACAATAGAACATACACAAGTGTCATCTTGTACTTCTCGTTAGGGTGGTCGGTTGGCGCAGTAGATAGTGCACTTGCCTTTCACAAAGACGGCTGGGGTTCGGTTCCCCGATCAGACATGAAAGGTACGGCGTCACTTGCCCGACCACGTGGGTTTTTCCAATGTAATCACAGTCCGGGCCGCCTGGATTATTTGATATAAGTTGGTATAACTTGTTGTATCATTGTAAAAAAAACACCCAGCTATTTCGTTTTAATATTTGTTTCTTTTTTTCTCATTTTAGAGACTCACAAAGGCGCCAAACCAGACCTGTCGAACCTTGAAAAAGACAACGTATTCATCACGTTCAACTTTCTTGAGGCCAATAACTCAAAGAACACTCGAAAGTTTTATTTCAAAGAAAGTTTTGTCCATGACAAAAAAATGGATTTCGCCATTTTACAGTTACGAAATAAGGATAAAACCGAAGAATCTAGCTATCCAGAAGCCATAACGCATTTCAAGCCCGTATACCCTGAGCACACATTCGCTCTACTCGGTCACCCCGATGGGAAGCCTATGCAGCTAGATCCTAAGGTTCACATCTTTGATCCCGATAGTGATCAAGGGAAAAGACGGCTAAAAGAGATGAAACAATGGGGACGCAAACAAGGTAAAAAGTCTGCGTATGACAATATCCTGGACAAAAACAAAGTTTTATTTGACTGCTGGGTTCAGCATGGGGCTTCTGGATCACCGGGGATTGAAATGGGTTCCGATGGGGAGCCCGTCTGTAGCCTCATGCTTATACACGGATATCCGAATTTTGTCTTTGATGATAAACATAAAAGAAAGGAAGAAGACCATCCGTTCATGATTGAGCAAGGCGTTACAATGCAGGCGATTGCAGCAACATTGAACTTAATGGGTTCAGATGCGAAGGCAACAAAGCGGGAAATATTTGCTGACAATTTTTTCGAATGTTAAGAATTAGACAGATATATCTGTGTGCCCCCATCACAACATTTTTATGTTACACCAAAACACCATATTATATCAAAGATTATTTTGTTTTGACTGCAAACAGGAATTGGAATCTTATATCGGGATATTTTGAAAATGTCTGATTTCTTTGTCAATCAAATAGTGTAAATGACTGTTGAGTCGACTCAAAACCGCTGAAAACAATTCACTAGGCCCGGTGTGCTAACAAAAGTAGTTATCTGTTACGAATAATAGAGAAATTTCGGACAATTGCACTCTTATACTGCAGGCATTCAAGAGGACGAGTAACATATTTACCTATTCCTCCCTTAAGTGAATGAAGCTGCAAAGGTCATAAGAGATATGTTAAATATGTTAAAAAAAAACATCCAATTATACTGACACATTTGAATCCAATCTTAAATGTTTGGCTTACGCATTATATAATGATTTTGGTTTGTTGGTGTTTTACGTCCTATTAACTGCAATGGCCATTTAAGGAGGTACGAAGTTTTGGTGGTGGAGGAAAGCTGGTGTTCTCGTAGAAAATCAACCGAGTATCGGCCAGTACCTGGCGACTGCATAACATAGGCCTCGAACCCGCGACCCAATGGTGGAGGGCCACTTGTAGCAGAATGTTGAACGCCTTAACCACTTGCCTACCGTAGCCCCCGCGAAATATAATATAATATAATGACATTTTCCTGAAAATGAATGAAGTTTTGTCGGTATCATCATTATATCAAAAATTGAATGTGGAAATATGCACTTGCTGATGTGATACCAGCATCTTCAGTTAATGATTGTAATACATGTTTCAATATCCAGCATTTTCATTCTGAATAATTATACTACATCTGCATAGGTAATGAAGTAGCGTGTTCACCTATGGTCGAATGGACAATAGGTGGGGACAGTTTTGTGACATTCTCCTGGTAAATCATACACAAGTGTCGAGTTGACGACCCAATTTGGCACAGTAGCAGGTAGGGTTATCCCATTTGGACGCTTCAACTCGCACATATTCCAACTGGATGCCATTGTATTGTACATACGTTTCGCAAAATAATAGTCACACTATTAGTGGTTGTGTCGCAACAGAGAGACATCCAGAGGATCATCACACTGATAACCTCAAAAAAAAAAGAAAAGCTGCCATAAATGAAACTGAAAATTTTAACACAAACAATACTATTAGACAGAGTACAGTAAGCGTGTCATACACTGGGACACTTGCATAACACTAACGCACAGAACATATTTGACAGTTCTGTTCTTTTTATCAATTTGTATTACTGATCAGTTGATAACTTTCTTTCTGTATTTATATTTCATTTCCAAGACTGTTTTTATAATTGTGTACATACTATGTAAAAAACTATTTTTTGTTTTAATGGTTTTCTCAGTTTATGCAACTTATTGTAATGAGCTCAATTTCGTAATTTTTCTATTTTTGTATTGACGTTAATAAAGTTTGCAAAAACGTAATCCACTTCACAAATGTCTTGATTTGTTTCTTGTTTTGTTTTTTAATTAGACGTTCATAACATGGTTGCCAACTTTTACTTTAATTTTTTTTTAAACCACACGCTCTCCGCACTCTTTGAAGAAATGTACGAGCCCTTTAGCGTTCTTTCGATGTTTCAACGGTATAGTAAATTGCATAAAGGCCAAAACGTCATGTTTGTGTCCCTTTCAAATATTTGTGTCGGGGGTTAGTCTACATTCATCTGGGAGCTGGTGTGTTGTTGGCGACAAATCAGACTCTGGTACAATGTCTTGTGAATACGAAGTGTTGCACCGTCTTTTTTTCTTTAGGTTAAATAACACGGGTTTGACAAGCCGGTGTACGATGCTATGGTGCTTAAGTAAACTATCGCTTATGCGCTTTCCTTCCACAGTATGAAGGGTCAGAGAGCGAAAGAAGTCTTTGTAAGAATGCGGTTTCTTTAAGTATTGTTCGTTGAAGATAAATTGTTCTCTGTATTCATTCATGAATACGCTATACAACCTTACCAACTGCTCGTTGTTAATGGTTGATCTACCATAAATATAGAAACAATGCAAGCGTCCCCACCAATTTATCTATCTTGTATGACACGAGGACCTTTACACTTTGTTTGGTTTAGTATTCTTTAACGTCCTATCAACAGCTACGGGCATTTAAGGACGGCCTCCCATCTGTGCAAGATGCATGCGTGTAGTGTATGCGTGTGTGTTTTGGGAGGCTGCGATATGTTCGTGTTTGTCTCCTTGTAATAGCGCGGAACTGATGCCGACTTTATAGTGCTACGTCACTGAAACATAATGCAGGAGACACCCAGCAGGACACGCCACCCGGTCACATTATACTGACAACGGGCGAACCTGTCGTCCCACTGCTAAATTGCTGAGCGTAAAACAGGAGAAGAAACTGCTATTTTAACAGACTCTGGTAGGTCTCGGCCAGGGGAAAGCCTGTCACTTGTGCAGTTTTGGTACTTTAACGACATCTAGCGGCAGGGAGACATATCGCGCAAGTATTATAAGGTCCACTCATCCCCTTTTAAAAAGTGTCCATGAAAAACGTCGTTTTTCGAGGGGATACTTAATGTCTTCGAAACATTAGAAACTGTCTAGAAACACCCGATGCTCCAAAATAAACTGCATATGGACCTTTCAATGAAATAGCTCTGGCAAATTCTCCGGACATGTATAGGTTCTGAGTGATAAATATAAATATATAAATATCACACAGCTGGTCTACATAACATACCCAAGTATCATGACTATAGTCCAAATGGTTCTTAGGATATTGTTGTTTGAAGTTTTTAACATAATTGACACCAGTGACCTTGGAAGTAGGTCAAGGTAATTTTAATGAGGAAAATATACAACACTTCATCCGAGGTACATACTGGCCAAATATCATGACCCTGAGCCTTATGGATATTGAAAAGAAGATTGTTAAAGCCTTTGAATCATGTTGACCTTTGACCCCAACTTGCACTTAAAGTTGACATTTGACCTCATTACTGTAATAAAGAAAACAATTCGCACTGCTGGTCTACATAACAGACCCAAGTATCATGACTCCAGTTCAAATGGTTCTTGGGATATTGTTGTTTGACGTTTTTAACATATTTAACCGCTGTGACCTTGAAAGTAGGTCAAGGTCATTTTAAAACTTTATAGCACTCCATCCCAGGTACCTACTGGCCAAAAAGCATGACCCTAGGTCATACAGTTCTTCAGAAGAAGTCGTTCAAAAGAAAAAGTTGACGGATGGACGACGGACTACGGACGCCGGACGACGGACGCCGCAATACGGCATAAGCTCACATGGCCCTGCAGCCATGAGATCGTTCGGATAATTGTTGTTTCAAAGATTTTACCATGGCAAAGGTTGCTCCATCTTTTCTAACGGAGATTGGTATTTGTCAGAAGTTATACCCGTTTTTTCTCGGGAGAAGTTCTAAATAAACACATAGCGTGAGTTGACATTTCTAAAGTGAGTGTAAATTTTCCGGACACGGTCGCTCTGGATATCAAAAATCGTTGTCAGGGAATTAAAAAGCGAAAGCGAGTCGGAAGTGTTAATCTACAATCCAATGTTTCGGTAGAAATGTTTACCAGGTAAAACCAATCAGAGACATGTAATGTTTAGTTTTATCTTTCGTCACAGATGAGTAACCCTCTTACTTATAATTTAGAGCAGAAAACGGGAGACTTGTGTGTTCGATAAACGATCCCTAACAAAACAAATGGTTTTAACTGCCATTATTGTAGGGCTGCGGGTAGAAGTCACAGGTGAGTTGTAGCGACATGTAGTTAGGGTAGACGATCATGTGCTCAATAAGTGTGTGTATACACAGAACGATCTACACACAGGAATGTTGACAATCGAGGACATTCAATCCAAAACTTCCGGGGTAGTGCATACAAGTACGCTGTATGATTTTAAAGAGTGATGTTTGAAATGTTGTCACCGGATAAAAAAAGGTGTTAAGGGAAATGTTGACAGTCCCTTAACAGCCGAATCCGTTTAGTCGTCCTGGAAAACTCTATCAATTGTTAAAAAAGGAAGGGTTATACGAAAGAGGGTTGAATATGATTGATCACATTTTGAGTGACAAAATCACACATGGATTAAACGAGAGAGTGGACAGAAAGTTCAAGCGCTACCGACCTTTTTGCTTACATGGATGGTCGGTATGAGGGAGACAGACCTTTGAAATACAACTCGATTTCTATTAGTTCTGCAGGACGCGTGTTTTTGGCGGTATCTCTTCACAGCCCCTCGTATGCATAGGACGGTATCGTCAGTTATTGAGGCTTCAAAAGTACGTTTTCCTTGGGGTTGAGGTCATCAGAATAGAAATCAAGATTAAGCTAAATACATGACATCCTTTCACGTGAGGTGTCGGATTCGTCTGATACCTAATTCTTCGGAACTGAAATATATTTTTCCTAACGTAAAATAGCCACTTACACAAATTACACATAATATTAGCCAACAGTCTATCCTAGTTACTTTAAAGGACAAATTGCACACGACGTTTGTCAACAGACAGTCGTATGCGCACGTCAGCGAATATAAACAAAACCCCATCACTGACAGTATCAACAACACGCCTTCAAGGTGTTTGGGAGGTATGGTCCCTGTGTAGAAAAGACATTTGCACGGCCACGACATATACATCAGGTAATCAATAGTATCTTTAGTAACTACACAGTGTCGTCTTAATGGCAGCTGTTGATTCAGTTTGATGTGCTTCCTGCAATATTTTCTGAGGACAAATTTCCTGTAATTACCATAGAGGTGTGAATTATAGAATGGCCAAAGACCCAGTGACTACATTTAACTACATGGACGTAGTTAGTTGATATCTTATGTTGTTTTATATATAATGTGTTAACAGTTAAAAAAATAGTCAGACTAAGATTAGAATATACTGTAAATTTGGAAATTACTGCGGAAATAGCGCAGAGCAAATACACAGATATCATTTCGTTTGATGATACTTTCAATCCAATTAATGAGAGTGAGAAAATGAAGTACATTGTTTTGAAAACAAGCCGATAATATTTTATAAAAAAAACCCACCAAAGAATGTAACGTCTGCTAGGTACTATTTGATAGGAATACCAAACATGTTGTAACTATTGTCAAACAAGTCTTTAACCAAGTTGTGGTATATTCTGTTTTATACAGATTGTCATTTACTCTTTAATATGTGAATAAGAACTCAACAAATTATTTGCTAAAATGTAATAAATATACAGCACTTAGACAGCTTCATATTCTGAGTTTGCCCTATCAACTATCAACTAATCTTTTAATCTTTGGTGATGACTCTCTAACCCATCAAGATAACACTACGATTTTTCTAGCCGTCCAAAATTATATACTCAAAACTAACATATTTCAAATAAACGAATAGTCCTTAACAATTTCATTTTGACATATATATATATATGTATGTTGTGTTGCATTTGTTTTACTACTGTGTTTTAAAATGTATTTGGACTTATATGCTTATTCAGTGATTTTGCCATTGCATTTCTTTATACCATATTATGTCACTAACTCGCCATGATTATGATTGTTTGATAAAAGTGATGTGTTACCTTGAAAGAGCAGGACGTACCAGGAGGGAAGAGGCGAGAAAGTGTTTTATGGACTTATATTTGATAAGTGTGATGGCTAGTATGTGAACTGCAACGTTTTTAATAATCATGGCGGTGCTTTGTGACATACTAATTTTGTCAATAGTTGATTTAGTGGTGATTTATTCTATGTAACTTGTATAAACATTTTAACCTTTTTCGAGTGTCCACTTACAGGACTACTGACATTTTCATCTACTATTCCATTGTTATATTTTACAGAATCGTGTTCCACATACTCATCGCAATAGAGCAATATGATATTACCATCTGATGATCATGTGTATATTGATATGTTATTCATTCCTGGTTTCCACTGCATACCAATCCATTACCCCCTCCCCTATTCCCGTAATTATTCTATTGTACATATTACTTCATTCATGTAGCTAGTGTTGAAAAGCTGATTACTAAGCAGGTAACAAATTTACATAAGTGTCACGACACTTGTTTTTGTTTCCTTTTCTGTTTTATAAAACATGTATTTCGATGTATTGTCAAACAAAATTTGAATAAAACAAAGTTTAAACCAATATGTGAATAGTTTGGAGAATGTGATATCGCACAAACCGGTTATGAATTTAAACTGTGCATGACTGTCCTTGCGTTCCATTAACGGTTTTCTACTTGTACCGATTCGATGCGTTAAATGTGTTGTTTTGTCTGCACTGCTATTGTTTGTGACGTCACTATGAATGTTTATTATTGATGTCACTATAACTGTTTATTTACGATGTCACTATGACTGTCTATATATGACGTCACTATGGTTGTTTACTGCATTGATTACGCCATGTACATATCATGTATGATAAACATGAGTCCACCCGATGGAGCCTGAAGGAGGCAGAA